CGGGTTTCAAAGAGCGCTCTGGGAGCAGGAACTCGTCGCTAAAGTATATCAGTCATGCTTCAGATATTTATGACTTGCTACCACTGGTATAGTTTGCTCACCCATTAAGTGCAAGTATTTGCGGACAACAGAGTACTGTACAGCACAACAACCCCTCAGCCGTCTGGGAGAGATCTCAAAATTACCGGCGGCAGGTTGGCTTGTTGTGTAACATGGCAACCCACCCTGTAGAACTTTACAGGTGGGTGGATATACCTGCCACAACATCCCTTCATCCTAACTTCGCATGGTATCCTTTCTTTGTAGAGTAATCACCAATTCCCAGAGTGACTGCTATAAAGCGTCTCCTTCTTCTTCTCCCCCCCCCTCCTCCTCTACAAGTGGAAAAGAGAGCCCATTTCCCTATTGCCTCCTCACTCCCAGTCTCCTTATTCAAACACACACCCCCCCAAAAGACCCCCCTCAATAGCGCCACCCCCCCAACACAAGACAAAATGCTCCATGTTGTTTTGAAGATAATTTCCTGCGAAGGTTTCAGGTTCTTCTGTTGCTTCAAACCTTCGAACCCCAGCGAGCATTCCGAGGACTCTCAACGCCGGCCGGGAAACGATGTCCCGAGACAGCCAGACCCGCTACAACCTATGGCAACTACAATTACTATAACCACCAATGCGCCCTTACGGGTTCGCCGCCTAGACGGCACTACTCAGACAGCTTCCAGCCCATCTAGCAGCACAGTCCGATTGTGAGGTATGTCTATTATTGGATTACTTACTTCGTGCCGATCTTTCGCTGACATCTGGGGTGTTCAGGCATGTCAGTATAGGCTTTGGGGATATCGTTTGCGAAGCGGTAGCGATCAAGCCAAGGGCGGGATACGATGTAGTGGCGGTAGTGGGCGTGTTGGCATCCTGACTTAGGAAGTTTAGTATCTTTATAAATTGTCAAAGTCAATTCTGCAGGGGCAAGACAATTTGTGGGTTCCGTATGATACGTCTGTGATGCGCAGCGGACACACCAGATTTCAACTCCCAAATTGAAAAGCCCCAACTGCCAAAATCTAGTTCGAGAAACTCATGGACGAAATCCGCCCAATATCACGTGACCAAACGAGTGATGTTACATGAATCCCAACATTGCGGTTTTATCGCTATATACAACCACCTTGTAAACCTGGATCCGGGAAATTTAACCGGTGATGCCTCAATTGCAATCGGAACAACGAATACATCTTACCGTACTGCTCGAATATGATAACAGATTCCTTGTCCATGTAAACACAGGCGGCACAACCCGTGGGCCAGATATACCAATGGTGAGCTGTCAGAAATCCACTTTTTTTTTTTTTTGTCTCCTTAAGGTGCACCGGGCAGCCGGCAGCTGTGCTGTATGGTAGGATGGTGCCGTAAACTCATGTCTTGCCCCCGAGTGATCATCCGTTCTCCCCTTCTCAAACCCGGCGCCCGTTGCAGCACGCTTGCAATTGGTCCAGTTCCGAGATACGTTCACTGGATCGGGCCCCTCTCTTTCGGATTACCTCCTTTTTTTTTTTTTTTTTGCTCTCAAGGCAC